AGGGGGGGTTAGATACACGTGGCTACTTTCGCTAGAGAGGCAGGTGGGAGGATTATTATAAAGGGTGAGGCCGGGGTACTTAAGCCGGTTTAAGTTTTTATCGTATAATGTAGTGGTGGGGGTGAGGGGAAGGGGCGAAGCGGGTAGAAGTAGGCCAATAAAAAATGTAGTTGAGATATTATGCTATGGCTGCATGTTGTACGGATCTAATTAACGTGTGTATAGGACAGAGATGTGTATACTATGTATTAGTTGTGTGATGTTGTAGGAATAGATGGCGGTTCTATGTATGGGGACGGCGGGGAAGGAAAAAAACAGGGGCTTTCGTTAGATATCGGGGGATTACTTGAATCATTAACATTCGTGCGCAACGTTCAGAGATACTCAGCACACCACATCCCAGGTGGAAGTCAGGGGGAAAAAAATAAAAAAAAGGAGCAGAAGTTACGTAGCATCATTCAAAAACCAAAACATTGCGGATAGTGTCATCAAAAGTATCCTGATCAGTCCATCCGTTCATAAGCGCAATTATAAAATTCCTTCCTGTTTTAGCGTCCTCGTCACATAGTTAGATTTTATGTATGCTTAGCTTCCGGGGAAAAAATTAAAAAACGTCGCTAAATGTATTATTGACACATGATCGCTCTTTTGTATCATTGATTGAAATAACGTTGTCGCGTGTAACGGATCATGCGGGATAGCATATAAAGTAGGGTGAAGCAGTGTATACGAAAGAAACATTTATTAGTAAATGCGTTCTCAAATCTCTTATCCTAAGGAAACAAAGCGAGGAAGTGGGCTCGTATTTCATGAGAGTCGTGTGGCATGTGAGGTAGCGGGTGGGGGGAGGACGGGGGGATAGGGGAGGGGGAATGCAGGGAGGAACGATAAGTACGGGGCTTAAGGTATTATAACGTATCTATGTAAGGTATGTGTACTGAATTACATGTGCACAAGCCGCGCATATATTTGTTGTATACGCGGTAGGTATTTTGCAAGTTAATGTTGTATTGAAGAAAATAGGAAGCAGTGTTGTGTGTATATTATGTTTGGGAACATAGGGGAGGGGGGAAGATAGGGGGAGGGGGGAGGGGGTAAGAAGGTAAGAAAGCATTAGCAAGATGTATCGTTATGTAAGGAGGGGAAGTTAGCATGAGCCATGTCCAACAGGTCAGCTGGGGAGTCTACCCCAAGCCTAGCAACTGGATCAGCGATCCGGGTACGTATGTGGGGGGGCTTGTGTACGCAACACGACCATCCCACGTGGCGTGGGAAACCTGTGGTGGAGCTCACTAAGATCCCATTAGCAGTTAGCCTGCATCTATAATCTGCAGAATGACTCGATTAACATCCAATATTATTAGTTAAGCAGGGAATGAAGGGGGGAAAAAAAGGGGGGCGGTTTGTTAAGGAGCATGAAGGAATAAGTAATTAGTGTTAGTAGGTTAGGTGTTAGGAGAGAGACAAGTCCCAATCGTAGGGGGGGTGCATGCCCTTAAGCACGCTTTTCGCTGCTTAGCACTTATAGCAGCTCATCAAAGGGATTAGTGTAAGCTCCAGATGGCATAGTTGGAGAAGAAGGGAAGGGGGTATTTTGGGAGGTTAGGGAAGGGAGGGGAGAGGGAAGGGACAGGGCAAGGTTAGGATTCCATACCTGCGAGGTCAAGATCGGTGCAACTTGAGGATTAGTTGCTGCCATCGTGCTGCAAGCACTTGTGTAGCGAGACGTTAGAACGCTATCCGCATAAGCTGAGCGCCCGATGAACGGACGTTCTTCACACCGTCAGCAGGAGCAGGAACAGTGAGGCGATCAGCCCTTCCTACCAGAGAAGCCGCTGAGCCGTGTGGGAGGTAGGGGAACAGGTGGAGCAGGCAACAAATCGTGCGTTAGAGCACGGGGGCGTCAGTGGTTATGAAAA